ATTAAAAGTCGTTGTCTTAGGCCGGCCTACCGCCCAATTCGAGCGCGTGGCAAGATGTGACCGCCCGGCGATCGATATTGCTATGCGCACATCTCGCCACGCGCTCGAATTGGGCGGTAGGCCAGCCTAAGACAACGATTTTTAATAATTAATTACTCGTTAACTATTACGAAAATTGCAAAATGATACAGGACTTTTCCGTTCATCTCGATCCGTTCTACCTTCTCAAAAATTTTGTCGGATATGGAAAGACTCACCCTGTATAATATTATTTATGCATAGGTTAATTTACTAAAATTCTTTATTGCAACAAATATGTTTAGTTATCAATTAATTCTTTATTGCAAAAAATTCTTTATTGCAACAAATATGTTAGTTATCAATTAATTAATTATTAATTTCGATATTATGGCAATATTATTATGTGTTATTGTTCTAGCTGTAGCTTACTAACCGGATTAACGAAAGAATTTAATAAAATTTAGTCATTTAAGGCTGCAAGGATCATAAAAGGCCCATATTGTTAACATATCTTTTTATTTCTTACAGGACTCGCAATCAGCTCTACATATGACGATGGATCTCACTGTCCTGTGCTTGGTAATTATTTTTACGTTGAACGTCAGTCATGGTAAGTGAAAAGAGATTTATTACGTTCTCTTGTATTTTCCTTTACGTGGGAAAAAGAGTGTATACGTTTATTAAGTGCGAATTTAATTTAATGTAACTGTTAAAAGGGAGAAGAAAAGATAGGAATATACAGAATTGGAACAAATTGTTGATTGATACGTTTAATAAGTTATTAGCTATACTTATAATTAGAGGAAAGTTCCCTGTGAGACAGGATCCGAATATGAGATAGCGGAGTTTCTGCTAAATTAATAGGCATCGTCTGCTGGTTCCATCATTAATTTGTTGCCCTTGGAGTGGCATCTGTTTAGTAGAAAATTGATTAGTAGATCGTGTAAGCGTTGCCAAAAAAGATTTGTGATTGCATTTGGACGTTAAAAACCTACTATCTAACATTAGAATCTTATCTCGTAATAGAGGATTTCCTCTACTATTTATGTGTACATAAAATAAGAGATAATGATATACATATATTATCAAATATTATCATATATTTTATTAGAAATTTTTGAGACTGCAACATATAAACTGTATTTTATCGGAACCAAATTACTGCAAACAGGGAATGTTTTTTTAAATGGCACTTTACGGATTCTGTAAGAAAGTTCGCCGTCTACAGTTCGTTAAGATCTGAAGGTGCTGATCAGAAAGGCACAATTGCTTGGTTTTTAATAAAATGCGCCGTGACAAATATCCTGCACACCCGTTTTTTTCCGGAAAAGGATCTCGAGGACTTCGTATACGACGTTTGGTTGGTGGACAGGACGCCGTCGAAAATGAGTTTCCTTATCAGGTGTCCTTAAGATACTACGACTTGCATATCTGCAGTGGTGCACTTATCAGTGATAGGCACATCCTGAGTGCTGCGCATTGTGTATGTGGCCTGATAGATGAACCTTCTGAAGAGCTCAACGTGCGCACTGGGAGCATTATTTTGAAAGGGGGCGAGAACCACGCTATCAAAGATATCAAATGCCATCCTGATTACATATATGGCTCCGAGACGTCTTGGACGGCTGATCTAGTTGTAATTATGGTGAGGCATGCTTTCCTTTTGCTGTTTGACAGTTGAAATCGGAGGTATATTTTGATGAATTGAAGACATTGCTGCAAGAACGAGGTAAGTCCACTTTTTGGCGAAAATGATGTTTTAACACTTTTGGATTTTGCATTATATGCAACGTTCCAAGCCCGATCGATTGGTGTAAAAACGACGTACGTAAGTGCATTGTTAGTTAAATAAACTGAGATTTTTGGACTTGCCCCTCTAAGCAGATTGGTGCAAGAACGAGGCAAGTGCGGAAAAAAATTAGCTAATTTAATAGTTTATTACTTATTTTTACTAATTTATCACTATAACTATCTAAAAGGTACTACTTTCAAATATTTTTGGCTAGTTTATGTTCTGTTGCTAGGCATTTTTTCCATTTTTGGTGCTAGAACGAGGCAAGTCCAAATTAAAAGTGTTAAAATTTCATGCATTTTGAAAGTTTGTTATTATTTGAATAAGTATGCACTAATGGATAACTAAGAAGAATATAATGTAAAATAAATAAACTTTCTGAAACAAAATTTGAAAACGGGGGAAAGTTTTTTTTGTTTATCTCGGAAACATAAAATGTGGACTTACCTCGTTCTTGCAACAATGTCTTCAATTGATAATTGTTGATAAATTGAACAAACTTTCACTTTCACCAGACGTCTCTAGAATTATTATGCTTAAATTATGATTTACGGTTGCGATTTTGAACTTGATATATTAATGCTATTCAATTAATGGTTATATATTTTATTATATTACGTAGTATTTTATCATTATATGGTTACGATAATGGAAATTCTATTGTAACGTATACAATGAAAGACATACAAAATCTCGGACAGACATGTTAATAAATTATTGATGTAATCAGCAGTGTACGTAAGAGTTTTTTTATGTTAAAAGAGCGATTTTATATTTAATCACAGTATTTGGTAGATTTTAAAGAAACGTCGACCTTAAAATTCATCTACAAACACTTGATAAGGTCATTCAAGAGATTGCAATTGTTCTAGTTTATATAATTATCTTATTGAATTGTAAATTTTTATAATTTTATTGTTATACAAAATTTCAGAATTCTTTTTATAGTGCAACTTTATTTCGTGAATTTTGCTATTAAAGAAATTTTCGAAAGTCGCAACTTTTATAATATCCAATTCTTCTTTCTGTTTTTTTAATTAAAAATCTTTAAGATTGTAATTAAAAAGATACTAATATTTTTTCTTTTTACTATAAAAATCTTTAATATCATCGCACGCGGAGAGCAAATTTAATTATTTGCCATGTAGCCAAAGGACAGGTAACCAAAGGACAGTCCAGTGGATTTAAGACTATTCTTGAAAACTTAATAAATTAATAGTTTTTGGCAGAAAATTTGTGGCGGTACTCGGAACAGAATGCCCTGATGTATTAAAATTCAAGGAGAAACACTTGTTATTTTTATATTATGTCAAGTAAAACACGTTTGGTGAAATATACCTTGTTATCTTTCGTAAATTTTTCTTCAGGGTGGATGAAAAACTCTGTGGATATTTGAGATATGTTGATGCTTTCAGCTTGCTAAACAAATTTCCACATCATCTTCTCAATCGCCAATTGCTTTAGCAACGTGCAATGCACCCGCTGGACGACACGCCATTGTCAGCGGGTGGGGACGTGTTCATCCAGTTAGTTGGCTGTCTCGAAACTTGCAAAAACTTTCGGTGCCAATTATCGATAATGACGTGTGTCAAACCTATTATAAAAACACTACTATTCTCAGTTCCCAGATTTGTACATTTGAAAGAAAAGGTATCGGCGCCTGCAAGGTAAATATAATACTTAGAATCAAGTTACTTTCACCCTATGGTTGCATTTTGAAACTCACGCGAAAGTTACGGTGAAAGTCGATTCTTTACGAAATCTAAATTAGATTATTAATTATTATTAAAAATTCAATTGTATGTAATAATAAATATACTTGTGGGACGTGGTAGAGTATACAATATAATATAAATATAAAATAAGGTGTAAATAAAATTTTCAGTGACATATATTTTACATTCGAACGTTAATTTCATAAAAATTTCAATTGATATTAATATTATTTGACAGGGCGACAGTGGTAGTCCTTTGGTATATAATGGTATACTAGTAGGCATATTTTCATGGACAAGACCCTGCGCACTTGGTTTTCCTGATGTTTTTACTAGGGTAAACCATTTTAAGGATTTTATTGAAAATGTATTGCAAGACGATTGAGTAATAAATGTTTCTGACGATAAAGAATGTGTCTTCGACATGTTTCATTGTACATACATACATATTATATACAAATATTATATTTATATAAATTTAACTAATACATGTGGTGTTAAATGAGTATTGCTTCTCAATATGTCGTAAATATTTCGCGCGAAACGCGCGTTTTATCGTTTCTAGTGTGTATAAAACACAGACGAGTAATTAAACTACTTCATTATAATACTATATACAGCATCAAATGAGGACATTATACTCAATAAATTGTTTTGAAATGCTTCTTTCGTGCGTATAAAAAAACAAGATAAAATTTCTAAGATAAATTTCTTAAAACAAGGAAAGAGAGACAGCATCTTCATTTGTTTTTCTTCGACTTCATTGCTGCATTGTCCTTCTTTGGTGTGCGCGATCCGAACAAGAGCCTCTTTAATTTTCGGAGAACAAACAGCACGATATAAAGCACCGTGATAATTACGACGAATATCAAGGCATAAACGTCCAGCAGGCAGTGTTGCCACCAATAGAGTTGAAGTGCTGGTGATTGAATTACGTTTCCATATTTCCCGATATACTCCACCCAAAATATGGACTCATCCAAGGCACTTATCGGTCGATCGAGGAACTTCTTCGACAGTGTTTGTATATTTTCACTGAAACGAATGAGACAAAAGTTTCTTAGCAATACAGCGGGATTAACGTTTACAGACGAAATCAATTATGGCCAAACTCAGAAGTGTATAACGAGTGGTATGTTTAGTCGTGTCACGTGTTTGTTTGATACTGGCTCGAGAAATTTTGATTTTTTTTCGTGCTGCAAAAAGTGCGCGACCTTCATATGGATTTTACATTTTTTTTCTCTCTCTTTTCATTCGTCCTATCCGGTTGAAGCGTTTGCTCTTATTATTGAACCTTTACGCGTAAAACGTGTTTCATACGGATTCGTGCAGATGAAATGGATGTGGAATTTAAAGCACATACCGATTGATTAGAACCGACTCACGATATGCATTGGAGAGTGAAGCAAGATTTGGTTACAATAGAGAGCACACGCTCTGTTTATTCCACGATATGAACGCTGCAACCGGTCGCGGATCGATAAAGCTAATAAGATTTAAATCACAGAATTTTGACTTTTTAAATTCAACTTAATAATTTGATCGTTAGTTGCACAATTTTATTTTTTATTATGTTCACAAGTAAAATCACATTTTTCAAATTGGACAAAGTTTTGAAAAAAAAACTAATAAGTGAAGTTAAAAATATATCTGTACAAAAATTAATGAAAAGTAAAAAAATTGATAAAAATAAGAATATGTATGTTACAATTATGTTATATGTATACAAGATGCAACTACAACTTTATTATCGTCACTACGTAACGTCTTATGTAAATTGAGCACAGGTACATCTTGTGTTTGCAGTTTCTCTCGATCAATGTTATGATTTCATTAAGCCCAGTTGAACATGTTACAATTAGCAAACAACAGTACAATGCTTAGGCTTTCCAATGTCTGTAGTCTTTGAGTACTTACCGATAGGAGGGATCCTTCAAGATGGTATTTATCGCCGAAGTTAATTTTTCCTCGGTAACTTCAGATACTGAATTAAGCGAAATTGCCACCTTTTTGTTGACATAATTTAGAATGTTGTTGCGTTGATCGCCAAACAGGGGAATGCCAATCATAGGAACTCCGCAATAGATTGCCTCTTGCGTCCCAAAGAGCCCGCCGTGCGTAATGAAAGCTCGTATGTTTTTATGTTCTGCGAAATTCATAGTGACACTGTTTTTTTTTCTTCTTTGTGAAAACATCGCGATTGGCAAATGCACAATGCGCGAAACTAACAATAATTTAAAAGACGACGGAATGTTTTTTTCGTACAGACGACTAATTATTCGATTTATTTAAATGTTTCTGGAACTTGATTTGACTATGCATGTAGTTTGTTATTTTAAATAATTTTCAAAACTAGCTTATAATTTATTTTCTAAATGATAGAAACAGCGTATAAAATCAGTTGTAAAAAATTGAAAACATTTTCATCACGAACAGGTACGATTGGAAAATAATGTATATTTTGAGGATTACTTAATTTATATGCAAATATTCCTGCAATATGGAAAATCTGCAAATTTCTATCGAAAGTTATGATTCTAGAAACAACTTTACAGGGTGTACTAAAACCACCGGAGGTCCTCTTAATGACAGATTAGAACATTTCCAGACGAAAATCCTAATACAAAAGTGTCGAGGTTATAATAGTTTTTAAATTAGAAGCGATTTTTTTCCACAAATGATAGGACTGAAATTTCGCGCGCTCAGGCACGGCGAAATGACAAGTGATATTGTAAATTTATACAATAAACATAACATCATAAAAAGAGCGATATTCATAGGAACACTTATATCACTTGTCATTTCGCCGTGCCTGAGCGCGCGAAATTTCAGCTGTATCATTTGTGGAAAATAATCGCTTCTAATTTAAAAACTATTATAGCCTCGACACCTTTGTATTAGGATTTTCGTCTGGAAATGTTCTAAGGAATCTGTCACTAAGAGGACCTCCGGTGGTTTTAGTACACCCTGTATACAGGAATAAAATCCGTTATTTTAACGATCCGGTGTGTGAGTGACC